ACTATGACAATTCACTTTACTACAGCTCACAATAAAGAAGCAGCCCTTGGTAGGATATTAAGAAAACATGCAGAATGTCTGGATTTCGCTTATGTCCTTTCTTGTACTGAAATCGAGAAAGAGGGGATCGCAGCTCATTTTGACACAGGGCAGATTGAAGAAACAGCTGACACTGCTGACCATGCGCTGCTTGCTATCGGACTGAATCAAAGTAGAATTATGTTGTTTCTACCTGCTTGATTATCGATATTCATGCTTCCTCAGTGGACACTTGATTCATGGTGACAAGAGGAGCTACAGTAAGCTCAATTTAATTAATGAGGAGACATTTACATATGTGAGTTGCATGCCCCTCTGCAAACTTACTTTATTCTAGGCCAAAGTATTGCATTATTTTAATGAAGGCTTTGTTAAGGATTTTACCAAAAGTATATGCTTTGTGAGTGACTGAAGAAACTGAAAACATTTTAATAAAGTTCGGTATAAATGTACTTCTTGTTGTTTTTTGTAGCTTAGGTAAAATACGTACCAGAAAAAGTAATGATCTAATTTATGATCTTTGTGACAGTGTCAACAAGGAGTGATGCTATTAACTCATGCAACTACTCATGTAGTTTCACGAATAACATGTAAATTGAGCAGGTGTACTAAAAGATTAAATTAATACAAAAACTGAGAAAGCTATAGAGCTATCATCCATTGCTAAATCAAATGAAGATAATTTTAAAAGTTCTTGATCTTTTTGGCATATGATAGATATACAGTAGGGAGAACAAAAAAGACTTCATTGACAAAGGGTTTCTGTTTATCTTTTGTGTCTTACATATTACCTGCAGTCTTTTAAGAACTGTGAGATTATTTGGGATGAAACACACTTTGTAGAGTACAAGGAAATATTATCATTAATAAAATTTGAGAGAATTTGAGAGTATGTCATAGAGACACAGTATAGACAGAAAGACATTGTCACACACCTGAGAGAGAGGATAAGTTGCCAGATAATAGTTTTGTTGAACTGAACCTCTTCACCTTTTTAACTTTAGAATGTACATTATATAAACTCCAAAACAATATTAAACAACTTGTCCTTGTCACAAAGATAATGGTTACAAATCACAATTGGATTCACCCTTTATTCCATTCATTTCAGTTCTACCTCCATCTCCTTAGCTCCTTGTACTTTTTGGCACCTCTGTCCTCTGTCAAATTCTTCAGCACCAGTACAACTAGAGTGAAATTCTGCAAAATAATAAAAGATTGTTGTTGTAATAATCATGATAAAACAAGCATGATATTAGTTTTTTTAAGTATTTTTCCCCTATTCTTATCAATTCACATACAATTCCATAAGGTGCTTACTTTTTAACCTTTTTAAATGGTAGGTTAAAAAGTAAGCACTTTACTCTCTCAAAACACCAAGTGACACAACATACTCAATTACAGTAACGGTAAATTACATTCTGACTTCTAGAGGATCTTGTTCACATCTAGCAATTAATAGCATCGCAAATTGCCAAATCATCTGGGATAGTCAGTTGCAATTGTCTTACTGTACAGTATATGCCAATTGTAATAAATAAGCAGTGTAAATAAATTAATCAGGCTAACATTACAATTAGAAATCAGGTACTGACTTCAGCTACAGTAGCTTCGCAGACAAATTCATAACGTAAAAATAGTTGTCTGTCTACTTAGGAAAAGTCAAACGTGATCACAGGGCTTTATTATTCCTGGCAGAGTTTGATTTCAGAGCAGACAAACAGGTGATAACTTAGAATATCTATTTATTTACAAGACTAGTGAGCTGCACACCAAATACACAGATTATTATTAACAAGTGTTTACAGTAAGTGTGAGTACCCGGACCCAGTCTTTTACTAAAGCAAGCCTTGGCCACCAGGGTCTGGGATTCCAGCAGCGTCCAAATGACACAAAAGTTCAGTATATTTTGTAATATTTTGCCCTAATATTTGCGGTTGCTCAGGGTCGGTGAATACTTTCTGAAAACGCTGTAGATGTGAGAGGGATGTTCTGTGAAAATCCCTTGGTGCATAGCCTAATTGTTTTGTGTTCACATTTCGTGGCTATTTAACAGTTTGTGACTTTAGTATCCCCCTGAGCCCGAGATGAGAAAGGAGCTTATTGTGGAGATACTGTAGAGCAAGGTGGGTCACATTGATGATTACTGTATGTTTGGGAGAGGTGGGCATTGTGCCAGTGCTTTTATCAGTTTACCAGTAGTCACCCATTTCACCAGTAAACTGAGGGTAAAGTCTCCTCTCTGCAATGGGCTTTATTTATGAGCCTGCCATGATGTTTTCATCCTGCTCTTCCATAGTTCTGCTTTAATTTTGAGCAGTAAAAACTACATTCCTGAAATGAAAAGTAATTCTTCTTTTTGTGTTTCAGTGAAGAAGAAATATGATTGGTCAAGACTTGCGCTTGAGTTTTTCTCTCTTTGCATTCCCTTTTTATGTAAAAAATAGTCACAGATAGTTGTCGGATTCCCGTTTTTTAATGTTATTGACAAAATATCTGTTGGTGCATATTATTTTCTATGATTGTAGGTGTGACTTCAGTTTTCTTGTCCTAGCTATGCAGTCAAGTGCTTGTCTGCTATTTTTTGTGAAATCGGCTGAATCCTCTCAAAGAAGAGGAAATGTTTTCTTTTTTTCAGGCAGACTCTGTATACTATTTGTTTCAGCAACTGTATTGTGAATTTTTAAAATACATTTGCAATCTTTGGCTATAGTCAGAACACATACAAATGTATTAATCATTTACCAGGTTATTTCAGTGACAGTTTGAATCGCATATGTCTATAATGTCAGTGCAGGCATAAGACAAAGTGCATGCCACAGAAAATATGTTCTTTTGTGTTCCATACACACCTAAGAGCAGAGATGATGTGAATTTACTGTAAGTTCACTGTAGTTGAAGTTCATTGAAAGTTATGTATCTGGTCCCAAATTGTATAGTAATTCCCAATATAACTATGGTTTTCTAAAACTAAGGGAATCTAGCTCTTTATACCAGCATGAGCCATTGTTTGTGCTGAACTTCTTTTTAAGGGTTGAGTTGAAAGCCTTGGCCATCAGAGGGTAAACACACATCCTTTCCCTAGCAGCTCCAGTGCTTTAGCAGAGTCCTTAATCGATTTTCAGAGAAACGTAAAAGAATCCACTGTGGCTCATTTGTCCTTTCCCACAGCAGTGCTGTCTCTGTCCCCTGTCACCAACCTGCACCTTCTGTATCCCAGTCCATATCTGTTGCCATCATTTGGTCTTTTGCTCTAATAATTTATTTTTGCAATCCACTATAGGATTTGAATGTCGTCAACATTCTTCATATTCCTCTCTGGCTCTTCATAAAGCCAGACTCACTTGTTTGAATTTGATTGTGTTGCTCAAAGAAATATCTATGCTGTATGTCTGTGGCATTAAGACTCTGGGTTGTGTGTGTTCCTTTCTTTTTTGGTTTGGTTTTGAGCAAAGCTAAACTCAATGTCTCTTCTGAGGACGTAATGTGACCTTAGCATAGCCGCCACATTGGTAATTGGTAATTATTAATAACTATTCAAGCACTCTCTTAACTTTTTCAATTGCTATTTGTTTTCTAAAAAAGGTTACATTTGCAATATTTCACAAGCCATATGTTTCACAAGAACTGGTCAAGCATATGATATTTTTCGTGTTGCAGGTACACATTTTCATATAGAAAATTCTTCTAAATGCAGTTAACAAGTGACTCAGTATATTTGTGGATATTTGTGAGTGTACTGCCTATACAGTATATCACTGTATCATGATGACAGTTTTATTGTGGTTTTTGTATTTCATGATTTGAAATTCTAAAATTAAAAAAATTTAAATATTCTTTCAGTTGTACTATTCAAGATATGTCCTCAGTGAAAGTTATTGTCCAATATTAGTTTTGACTTTTGTCTGTTACAATTAGTAGACTTCTGTAGAGCTGCCTAGACTGTTCTAGTTCCCTAATGTAATCACTAATTAACAGGACACTGGTGGCTGAAGTAAGGTGTAATGTTGCCAGTCATACATGCTATTTTGTTTCAGATTTACTGCTGCTGGATTTTGGTTAGCAGGCTCAGCATCACTTATTAAAACATACCCCTGATGTGCAAACATTTCTTTGTGAATGATTTTATCAGCCAACATTTTCTTGGATTGCCTTTTACGTCATTCAGGGGACCATCTTTTTTCCCCACAACTGGTGTCTGTTCAAAGTAAGATTGTAAATGCGTTGTAGTGGACACCAGCTCTTCCCTCTCATAGCGCAGGAGCCCCAGCAGTGCTGAGATCAGCAGCACAGCTCCACAGGCTGCACGTTTTACCCTGCAAGACAGTTGGATCCATGGGAGGGTAACCGTTTTTCAAAGCGCCACAGGATCCTTTTTACACAAGCAGTGCCAATTCACACACACGCAAACAAAACACTCAAGTCGTACCCTGACTGGGATTCTGTGCTGCCACAGCACCGTTGCTTTTCATTTCTGGAAGCATCCACTGGTGTTCCCTACATCTGCATGGCTCCTCCTGGTGGCAAGAAGCTGTCAGTACACTGTGAAAAATGTGTATTCTGTATATTTTTTTCTCTTTCAGCCTGAATTTGAGCAAATGTACCTTTTAAGATTGATCATTTTACGTAAATGGGCTTCTCATTTTGTGTCTCATTAATTTGATAGCTTGTCAATAGCCATACCAGTTCCAGGAGTGAATTATATTACAGAATTAGTTTTTACAGAACTCTCCTTACTCTATGACTATATTGACAGTGCCTTCTTAAACTATTATAACAAAATCTATAGAACCCTAAACAAATATAGTTCATTTTATTTTGCTTCTATTGGCCTTTGAATTCAGTGCATTCATTATACATCACTGACGAGCAGACTATTGTTTCGTATGTCAGGATTATACTGTAGGTCATGCTTTCACAGTGTGCAGTAGTCAGTCAACAGTGTGTCTGCTCTCTTGCAGCTGGGGGATGGCAGTGAATGTGTATTCGACATCTGTGACCATCGAGAACCTGAGCCGACATGATATGCTGGCATGGGTCAATGACTCCCTGCAACTCAACTACACAAAGGTGGAGCAGCTGTGTTCAGGTAGGACAACTATACATGGCTCAGGCCATCAGGCCAGTAAACATCCCTTTTCTGCATTTTCTTTCAAAAAAGTAAGCAAAGGGTTAAGAGAGTATGGAACCAGGTGTGCAAAAAGTAGTCAAATGTGTTACTTGAAGTGCTGTTACCTTACTTGAGCTCATTGAGCAGAAGTAAAAAAAAAAAATCTCTTAACAGTACTCAAGTGTGAGAAGCACAAAGTAGCCCACCGAAATCTGCTGTTACTCTGAACTTCACAGCCCCTATATATCTTCATCAGATCTTATATTTATCCATCTATTTTCTAACCACTTCTTCTAATTCAGGGTCATAGTGGAGCCAGAGCCTGGTCAAGATGTCAGTCCATCACAGGACACACACAGACACTACCGCTCACACCAGGGCCAGTTTCCCAGAAGCCAGTTTAACTTCTCTGTATGTTTGGACTGTAGGAGGAAACCAGAGCACACCTTGAAAACTCACATGAACGCAGGGAGAACATACAAATTCCACACATAGGACTAGAGGTCCAGAATTGAACCCAGCGCCTCAGCACAGTGAGGCAGCAGTGCTTGTCACTGCATCACCTTGACACCAAGCTTATATTTATAAATAAATCAATTCATGAAACTATTTTAGGATCAAACGTTAAAAAAATTAAATCCTGTTTTTGCAAGTGTAAATTTACTTTACTCTTCTAAACTACAACATTCACATCTGAACTAGAGTGGCGGTCTGTCTGTTTTCAGTATGTTAAAACCTACAGTATTTCTTTGAAAAACTAGGATTTTTACATACAGTATGCAGTTTTTAAAACCAAGGTTTGTTTAAAAGGCTGCGATACCAAGAACATTTCGTAAATTACCTCCTCACGTCAGCTTTTTTGCATCCCTGACAATACTCATTTCACTATATCGCTGCTGCCACACACACTACACAATCCCCTATCCTGGTTTGTGTTTCTTTCTGAGTTTTACTCGAATGAGTGATGAGTCACTACTCACAGGAGCAATAGTAAGGTTTAGACCTACACAGTCCCTCCCTCCGCCAACTGCATATGAGAACAACATAACACTTAAAAGGTACATGCGTATTTAACTCGTCGGCGAATGATTTGTAAATAAACATGAAGTGAGGAATATGAAGAGCCCCACTGGCAGAGCTCATGGAGCTTAGCAATAATACTTGTGTTAATGAGAACTAATCAAAGTGCCTGTTAATGGGTAAGGTCTTGAATTGCTAGTTTGCATTGCAGGTGGCCCGAAAGCTACTTATATTTATCTCATCAGTCACACGTTAGGCAGTGCTTTGACTTTTGTTAAGTATACGTTTTTAAACTGCCAGTTTCATCTGCAGTGTTTGAGCTGCTGACTGACAAGTGAAGTGTAGATTTTAAAATCGGGAAGGTAAAACTGAGAAACCCAACAGGGTCGGACATTGTGTGCACTGAAAGAATAAATATTTTAAAGTAAAAATTGGATCCACCTGTGCACTCTCCCACACTCTCCTCCTCTTCTTTTTAATCAAACTAAGTGCTTGTTCATGCTTCGTCTAACCTTAAACCTCACATAGAAGTACTGCTCAAGCATATTCATGATGCATTTTGCTACAACATCTCCACTTGTTATATTGATTCTTGCATCATCTACAGATTGCATTGGTCTGCATTTTGATGGCATAGTGGTCAGCTTAGCTGCCTTCCAGATTACATTGGTCTGCTAATTAAAAATCAATATCCAGTGAATGACAAGTAAGAGACGTTACCTCAAATCATTGTGCCCTGTGTCTGAGTTGGTTTCTCTTTTTCTCGGCCTTTACCTGCTTTTTCGTCTTTGTCAGGTGGCGGAGTGGCAGTGCACACTCTTCAACTCTACCATGACAGATCATCATGTCTTTAAGTATGCTAACCATCACCACTCAGAAACTCAAATAACAACGTGATATACAATAAAAAATTGGAAGTTCCTGTGACTAATTACAGTAAACCCTCATTTTAACAGATTAATATGGGGGAAGGGGCGCCTGGTATTGTTGAATGTCCGCTAAATCACAAATAACATTTTTTTCATGCCCAAAACACACAGTTGTATGAGAAATGTTCATACAGCATATACTATATACTGTGTCTTTCTTGACCTTTTGACTTATTTTTTAACAATTTCAATCAACACATTCACTAAAAAAAAGTTCCTGTCCCTTTTTGTCCAAAATATACAAGCTCTTTATTTCATGTACTGTAACTTTCTGTGTCCTATCTCCATACAGAAAACAAGAGAGTGAAACATTATCACAACATTTTAGAGTTGTAAGAGTCTGGGTCAGGCTCTCCACCCATGTTTTTGAAACTGATACCCTAGCTTCTTTCAAGCAACCTGAATGAGATTCTGGGATCAATTCACTTCTAACAATTAACTTCTAACTATGCTAGCTTGGTCAAGTGATGATTGGACATCGGATAGATTTATAATTATAGCTCATATTTTAAGAAATCTTACTCATGAACTACATTTCTCATCTGAAGGACAATTAGTAAAACTGATCTGGAGTTCAATTCTTTTTCAATGCCTTAAACGACAAAAAAAAATCTTGATTGAGAATTTTTCAGAATCTATGCAGATTTTCAGTTGTCTATAGCCCCATGTGTTACATTTCAAGAGACATCACATGGCGTTAGAATTTGTGTGCTCTCTTTTAATTTCAAAACTGATTCATGGATTTGGTTTGCTGTAGAGATGGGGTTTTCAGTCTGGGTTCCATGGGCTGCACTGGGCCTCCCCAGAAATAAAAAGCAGCCTGGATCTGAATTTCAGCATTGTGTAAAATCAACATTCTTAAAGTGGATTTGCTCTGATAGCACTTTTGAGGGAGAAAAAATATTATTCCGTAAGTACTTTTTTAAATGTATATACAGTATACCAGTATTTAACAAAACCTAGTGTACTTTAACAGACGTGTCTCTTTTTCTTTCCAGGAGCTGCGTACTGTCAGTTTATGGACATGCTTTTTCCCGGTTGCGTACACCTGAAGAAAGTCAAATTCCAAGCCAAGCTGGAACATGAGTACATACACAACTTTAAAGTACTACAGGCAGCTTTTAAGAAAATGAGTGTTGATAAAGTAAGTTGAGTCCTTAGCTGATTGTGTCACTTTTGTGGTACCAAAGGCAATTGCTCCTGTCCAGTCGCCCTTTTTTTACTAACCTGTTGCCATCCTTTTCACACTTATCTCAAGTTATTAAAAACACTGTTCTACTTATTCCTGGAATTGACAACAAAGCTCTCCTAACAGCTTTCATTTTCAATTCCTGTCACTCTGTCAGCTGTAACTGTAACATTGAAACAGATGCAAAAAGAAAAAAAGATTTGTTCTGTTTTCTGGATCCCTTATTCTGTTTCAGTCCAGAATTCAGCAGATTTTCTAATACAGTTATAACCCACACTTCAACAGGGAGCAGTGATGAATTGAGCTAGATGAATGGGTCCAATTGAGTGTGTCAAAGTGGCACAGTAGTTCCTTTCAGCACTAGGGGCCCTTGGTTCAATTCAGAATTCTGGGTTTGGGTGGGTTTGTACGTTCTCCACCATTTTTTTGTGTGTTTTTACAGAGTACTTTGGTTTCCTCCTGCAGTCCAAAGACATACATGTTGGTGAACTGGCTTGGAAAACTGGCCCTGGTGTGAGTGTGTGTCTTTGACTCTGTGTGTGCCCTGCGATGGACTGCCGACACAGTATTGGATAAAGTTAGAATGTGGATGGATGGTCCAATCGATCTTTTCTTTGCACCCTTCAGTTGCTGCCAATTTAAAGAGAGAAAGACTGGATTCCAGACCTACTGGACTCCAGACCATCGGATTTATGAGGCCCGGTTTTAGATCCTCTGCATTTACAGTATATGTGGACATTTAGCAACTATTAATGAAACATTTAACAAGTATTTCATTTCAGCCCTAGTAAATTCAACCCCAATGTATGGCAGCTGGAGTTGCTAGTAATGCGTTCATTAATTGATAAATTGACATCCTCTGCTGAAAGAGAGCTTGTACCTCCCTTTATGTGAAACATACCTTGTTAACCATGTAAGGAGAAAATCAGAGCTTTTTTGGTGTTTAATTGTACATCTACTGTATGTTTTCAGCAAACATGGCTATTGTATTTATTATTTCATATTACTGCGTTCGATAGATACAATACATAAAGCAAATCCATGTAAATCCAAGTCTTAACAGTAGCAAATTTCTGAACATATTACACAAACATTGTATAAAAAGTAGTGATCGTGAACATTTTTTAAATAATAATATATAAGCAAAATAGCATTACCTTATGAGATCTATCAACCATAGAAGGGTTGATTTAATATAAGGGAATAGGCCTTCGCTTGTATTTAATCAAGTAAGGTAACAAATCTTTCAGTCTCCTTATTGAGTTATTGAGACATAACCTGAAATGTAAACTGTGCTCAAATATCAAACTGCTACATGTGAAACCAGATTACTGCAATTGTTTTTATAGCTTTAAAATAATGTGAACTACACAATAGACCTAAAAGCATCAACCAACCTAACCAAAATAGGCACTGATAGTAAAGTACAATCCTCAAAATATGATTGTCAGAATTGGTTTCTTGACAGTGGCAGTACTGTAAATCAAGAGTCTGTGGTCATAGGGCTTGCATTTGCTTATAAGATTCTTAATCGTGTTATTGTATTTTACCAGAGAGATAGTCAGGACTGAGAACCTTTCCAATCCACTGAGAACTCTCTTCATGATAACAAGCTCCTTTGCCCCATTAATGTCAACGGGGTTGTAGTCTCTAACAAACCTTCTACAGTCTAATGGGATTCTATTATAAGACAAACAATACTTGTATCAAGACATTTCACTGGACTGGTGAATGCTGATTAAAAATATATATTTATTCACCAAATTAAAATAATCAGTAATAATTGAGTAGTTTAGTTTTTCTCATTTCTCTGATTGTTCTGTTTGGTATGTCATAGGTTTGCAGTTTGCTGGTCTGTATGCACATTGTGTTTTTGTCCAAATACATTTGGTAATTCTTCAATTAAGCTGGTAAGAAAAAAAGAAATGTATTTTAAAGTCTTATAGTCTTAGTTTAATAATAGTACATCAGTCTGTAACTTCCTCTCATAATGACTCGTTCTATGCATACGGCTCTCCAATATAACCTTAATCACACTCAAACGTTATCAAAAGTTATAATAAACCTGTCAGTATCTGTCAAGATAACCTCAATTTAGGTTTGCCACTTAAATTATTTAATACAAGTGTTAGAGTTACAAAAGTAAACTGGTTCTAAAGGGGGTTTCACATTTCTCTTTCCTAAGCCAATGAACAAACTCTGAAAGTGCTTAAAAGGCTGAAAGGGCAATCATTAGTGACCTTACAATTGAAAAATAATGAGTTCTGAGGTGAAAGCCACAAATTCCAAGGTACATTATTGTGGCAGACCAGCAGTAATGAGGATAGTGATTTCAGCTGCCACTAGAAGTGGTCAGAGTTTCTGTTGTGTGTATATACTGTATAGCTTCACCAATGATGCATTGATTCATTAGTTAACTAGCGAAGGGCTGAGAAACACATATTTACATGTGGTGAATTTAGATTAAATTAGATTAGTCCATCCACCCGTTTGTTTTCTAATCACTTCTTCCTATTCAGGGTCACGGGAGGGCCAGAGCCTGTCCCATCAAGCAAAAGGGACACCCAGGGTACATCCTAGATGGGACACCAGTCCATCAAAGGGCCGACAGACACAAACACAGATACGCTCATTCTCATACCAAGGACAATTTTCTCAGAAGCCAAAGTATGTTTTTGGATTGTGGGAGGAAACCCACACAAACCTGGGAAGAACATGCATGCTCCACACAGATAGCACCTCCAGTGATACAAGGCAGCAATGCTAACCACTGCTCTACTGTGCTTCCCACTTTAGTTTAGTTTGTAATATAATTATATAGCTTGGTACTCACTGTGGCAGTTGGTGTGGGTTAGTTAAAAGGAGACGTTTGTGTGGTGAGATCATCACATTTGATCCTAGCACAAGTATCTTGGCTGTCCATTGTTATTTCCATGTGTTAAGGCCTCACGAGGCACCTGTGAAGAGGTTGGCCGGTCACAGTCATTTACTATCATCTCCGTCAATCCATCGGTCCTCTCTCTGAAGTTAAAAAATTAAAAAATACCTCACACCAATACCTCACACAAAAAGGAGACTTTAGAGAGGGCTGAAAACTTCTGATAAAGTATTTATTGTTAGAGGAACAACTCGATATTAAAGTGGCATGTACTCATCCTCTCATCTTCTATCTGAAGTTGTATGTTTCTTTAAGTTTGCTAGAACAGTATTTTAACATTTATTTTTCCTTTATTGCCTAGCCTTCTTCAACTAATGTCAGAAGATACAGTAGCAGAACATGGGCAGTTGGAAAACAGAAAAGTCTGTGTACTGCTACAGTATCTTCTTTTACACTTGAGCATTCTGGATTCATTGTTAGTATCCTGTACTAACAATAACAAGCCATTTCAGAATGTCCCCTTTTAATTTATTTTCAGATAATTCCAGTAGAAAAATTAGTAAAAGGAAAGTTCCAGGACAACTTTGAGTTTGTGCAGTGGTTCAAGAAGTTGTTTGATGCCAATTATGATGGGAAGGACTATGACCCTTTGCTGGCAAGACAGGGTCAGGATGTGGCCCCTTCTCCCAATCCAGGTGAACAAATTTTCAACAAACCCAAGAAACCTTATGGCACTCCAGGTAACACACTGGTTAAATGTCAGCTGTCTTTCACGCAACGCTTGTTCCGAATGATAAGAACGCGCTCTGGCTACTGGTTTGCAAATGACCTGCAGAATGCCTCTGCCCTGTCCATCCATGTGCTTCTATGAGCAATAAATATTATTTTATCTCTGACACCATTTTGCTTACTTTCAGCCTTCCATGATTAAACAGCATATTGGAATGCCACCCAATTAACCTGTTCACGTTTGATTTTGAAAGAAAATGTAGAAGAAGCAGTGCTGCCCTATTGAAATTACTGCTTCATCCCAAACATATCAAAGGATGTAACCTATAGGAAGGGGTACAGTAACAATGAAAGCAATCAGGTGAAAAGATTACTGCCACACCCAATGAAAAGATAACATTAGCTTAATGGCTTTTCTGTTTTGGCCTGACAGACCTTTTACCTTGTCCCAATCAAACCACTTATCAAAAGCACCATACTTCTGCTTGTGCAGTAGTTTTGTGCTGTGACAGTTTTGCTGAGACACAAAGGCATATTGCACTTAATGTATACATGCCTAAATGTTGCTGTATCCAAAATCTGAATATTATAGGGAAACTGCATTGTTTTGTCATAAAGTTTGCTCTGCCTACCCTGCTCTGACTGCTCCAAAGCCTTGTGCTCGACAGCAAAATTCAGCATTTCTAGTAGATCAGATGCAATTTGCATTAGTTCTGGCTTTTTAGTCTCTGAACAACTCCTAATATCAGTGCACATTTTACAAATCTTGCTTAATTTTTAATAGATAACACGCTGACAGTTCCACACTTAGTGTTCCATTTGTGCCTCACGTCCTAGATCTTTCGGAAAGCACTGAACAAACACAGGAGTGTGTTGTTGCAGAATAGGCTATGCACGTCCAGTTGTCCCCGTGTTTTTGGAAGCCTTCTCTCCTGTTTCCGCTATGCTTGCTGGACTAAATTTAAAAAAAACAACCTCTTAATGCATGCAGTGAAACTAAGCGTTTTAGCATTTCATTTCCCTCCAAGAACCAACTAGAAATCAGCTGTAAATAATCTGTCGATGTGTGTCGTCCAGTGCCCCAGAGGACATCCCCTACAGCACCCAAGAACATGCCCGCACCTCAGAGGCACGTCAACACAACCCCATCTGTGGGCATCAGAAAGAACCCTCCCGTGGCCAGAAATGGTGGCAGTGACACAGACGCCCAGATCATGGAGCTCAACCAACAGGTAACCCTTTACTGAGATCTTGAATGGCTTGGCGACGGGATTCAGTTGAGTTCTTTTAAATGGTACTGAGTGAGATAAATGATTTAGTTGTCTTTTAATATAAATATTAAATTTGTGCAAAGATTTCCTGGAATTTTGCTCTTCTGCATCCATCCATCTACCCTTTTTCTGACCTCATTGTCCAATTTAGTGTTGCAGGGGAACCAGAGGCTATCCCAGCAACCCTTGGGCTTAAGGCAGGATACAGCCTGGACAGGACGCCAGTCCATCGCAGGGCAGACACATAGTCACAATTGCGCACTCTCACATCAGGACCAATTTTCCTAGAAGCCAGTTAACCTACCAATATGTTTTTGGCCAGAGCACCTGCAGGGAACACACGTGATCATGGGGAAAACATACAAACTCCACACAGATAGAACCCCAGGTCCAGAATTGAACCCAGGACCCCAGAGCTGTGAGGCAGCAATGTTAACCACTGTGACACCATGCCACCTGGTTACATAGCTAATAATTATCATAAATAAGTGTGATTGTTCTTATTTTAATGATGGTACTATACTAAAATATGCAAGTAAATTATTGATATACATTTATGTGGTACTTCAGAACTAGTCAGAGGCCATTTCATTTTCGGTTTATGAATTTTCACCTTACGAGCGGTATTCCTAAAACAAATTACATTCGCAAATCAAGAGATGGCTACATCCTTATCTTTCTTTGGAATCTTTGGGATTGCTATACAGATGATT